GTACTTATGGAAAACTATAGATTTCCCCAATGGGGGAAGATGCCACAAAGGACTCTCCTCAACAAGGCAATAGGTATGTGCTCCCTCATGAGATGTCTTATCTTACCTGGATGCTAGGCAGATGACCCAAGTTAAATCCAGCATAACCTCAGTTGAAAAGTGTTGGGCGTGATAAAAGAAGATAAAACTTATACATTGAAGGAGCAACAAGAAATAGCATGTACCACCAGGAGCCAGGGGAGTATTCCTGGGATTGGATTTTGAGGGTGCTTTATTTAGGGGACCAGAATATAAGATTACAGAAACAAGAACTTATTTATTTACGGGTACCTTATTGGGACACAGGATTTATGATCTTAGCGAGAACCTCAGGGGATGGAACAAATTCACTGATAGGGTATGAAGCCCTAAATATCATTGTGGCCAACACTGAGTTAAGTGGAAATGTGTAAGTTGTCCTGCTATATTGTGAGAGAAGTGATAAAGAGGCTGAGAGAAGTGGTTATGCTGGACTGGATGTATTATGAGGCTAGAAAACTCACTGCATGGTTTTGTTACAGAGCAGAAGACACACGATTCACTCTGGCCACCAAGAACATGAAAAGGCATGAGCATTGTGGGTTCTGTGGTGGCTCTCCTCTTTAGATCAGGGTTGATTTTGGGCGAGGTACTCACAGAGTTGGGCTTGTCAGTGCCATTCAAGGGTGATGGGCCCTGAAGGAATAGAGGACTTGTGCTTAACTACCCAAAGCCAAGAGGCCATAATCACTTTAACAACTGGTAAAGCTGGAGGGCAGTGAAGGGGATTTAGGAGATGACTGACTGACCATAAAAATCTTACAACCAAAATAAATGGGCAAGTAATAAAGATGCTGCTTAACATCTATAACTAGTAAGGAACAAAAATGGAAAAGGAAGAGGGTAAGAAGGGTTGGCCCCAACCCTTGTTCAGTTCCCAGACCTAATGCAGTTTTCAGGTGTGGAACCCACAGATGGAAGAGTTGGCCAGGTCCTTCAAAGGAAAGACCCTGCAAGTCAGTGGCAGGAATATATGGTGACAAATCTCCAAGTTCTTCTCTAAATGGATGTGTGACCAATTGCTAGGGTGATAGTACACTAACAGGGAATATCCAGACATTTCAAGGACCTCTGGACATAGGGTCTGAGGTGATGGTGGTATTTGGAAACCCAAAACACCCCATTAAAGTGGGGGCTCATGGTGACCAGTTCCTGTGGTGCTGGCTAAAGTCTGGCTCACAATGGAGCCATAGTTGGTCATGTCTATAGTGCCCCAGTGTATAATTGGAAATTATTGTAACACACATAAAGCCTTTGGCTCATGAGATAAGTTATCACAGTGGGGAAAGCTAAATGGAAATCTCTGAAACTCCTCCTTATCCAAGCCAAGATAGAGAATAAAAAACATTTGGCTGGGGTAGAGAAGGTGGAGCTTATTGGTGGTCCTCATAATTTTTCCATTCACTTTGCCAGTCTGGGCTTTGAAGGAACTGGATAGAATGGCTGTAGACTAGTGCAGGCATAACCTAGTATTAGCCCTGTTTGTAGCTGCTGTGCAGATGTAATATCATTCATTACTAGAGATTAAGAAGGGCTTAGGTACATAGTATGTAGCCAATGATCTGATGAAGGTGTGTTCTTTTCAATCCCAGTTAGGAAGAAGGATCAGACACAGTTGGCTACATTATGGCTATGACTAGGAGTGCCCTTGAAGGACAATAGCAAGGGCAAATAGTTCTAATAAACAGAGCTGTGAATGATATACCTGTCATCTACTTTGCGTGGAGAACTGGTTCTAGATGAGACTATGTACAGTTTCCTGGGCAGTGGCTAATGGCTTGGCCATTTCTTCAGGGGCCTGGATGGAAAAAGACTGGAATATTACAAAAAAGTCTGGTGTAGAGATAGGTATGTGGACAGATATATGGGAGTGGGCATAAGAGTTTTAAGATTTTTGTTTCACATGTTAGCATCCACCAGAAAGCAGCAATCATGGATGGGGTACTTAACAAGCAGCCAGTTGAAATTAGCCAGGTTTAGTTATCAGACCCTGAACTACCATGACGAGCATGTGAATGAAGTAGCTAGAGCAGTAGAGCTGGAAGTTTTAAATGGGCCCAACACATGGACAGGTACTTACCAAGGCTGACCTAGCTAATGTAGCCTCTGAATGTCCACACTGTCAGCCATGGAAACCAAAACTGAGCCCTCGGTATAGCACTGTTCCTCAAGTAGGCTAAATGGTCTCATGGTGGCAAGTCAACTATAATGGGCCTCTTCCATCCTGGAAGGGCCAGTAGTTTATCCTCACAGAGATAAAACCTAGTCCAGGCAGGGGCTAACCACAGAGCCTCAGCCAGCACCACTATAAAGGACTCACACAGTATTTGACCACTTCATGATGATGAAGGTACAAGAGTGGGCCCATGACCATGGGATCCCCTGGTCTTATCACATACCTGCAACCATTCATAGAATGCTACAATGGCCTTCTAAAGGCACAGCTAAAGTATGAGCTTTGAGGCAACATTCTAAAAGGATGGGCTGTCATCCTTCAGAACACAGTGGGTTCATTAAACCAGGGAACTTTATGGTGCTTTGTGCCCAAAAGGATTATGGGAGTCAAATGCAGTGGCAAAAGGGGTGTCCTCATTTACAACACTCCCAAAGACTTTTTATTGGAAGCATTTGTGTTTTCTGCTATCTGTAAGCTTAGAGGCCTTGGTTCCCAAAGGGGGTATACTCTTTCCAGGGGCTACAGTGAGTCCCCTTCAATCACAAGAAATGGTTGCCACTAGAGCACTTTGTATTCCTTCTGCCCAGGGATGCGCAGGTGAGGAGTCACCACATTCACAGATTAATAGACCACCATGGACAGGAGGTTGGGCTGCTTCTTCACAATGGACAAGAGGGATATGCACAACCCCTGGTGAGCCACTTGGTGCCTCCTGTTGCCCCTTTGTCCCACTGTAGCTGAACAGGCACACATGGCAGTCAGTCCACGGAGGGGATGATTACTCAGGGTTCAGAACCCTCAGGAAGGAAAGTTTGCATCACATCACCAGGTAAACCACCAAGAACTCCCAAGGGGACTGATAGGAGTGAGGAAATTCCTAAATGGGATAGTAGAGGAAGAAGAGGATGAGGATCACTTGTGGCCCTGAGATCAGTCACAGGGGATGTAGTTCATCCTATTAACCAACCTCCCTCTGCTAAGTTTTTGCTCAGGAGGAGAGGCCCTGTCACAGGACTCACGGAGGTCTTTCTCCATGAATAGTGCTGAGAAGCACAAGGGGTGGACCAGGGCAGCCACGCAAGTGCACCACCCAGATCTCCTGCCGAGTGGAGCTCTATTGACTGAGGGCCCCATCTGCTGCTCTCTGAATCCATTGATATTTTCATGCCAAGGCTGCAGAGTTCCCATGAGGCTTTTCCATCAGAACAATGAGTGGAGCAGGTATACTCACTCCTGTGTACAAGGGGACTCCTCAGAGGGGCAACTTTGGCTTGAGAGTTTTTCATCAGCCTGACCTTAAACTTTCTTCGAATTGTGTTAAAGTCAGACTCTGACTACTCCACCCTCCTTTTCCTCTTCCATTCAAAGGGGTTAGACTGGCAACTGTCTGAAGACTTCCTCCTCTGGCTTCCTCTCTATTTCAACCCTCACAGGCATTTCCCCAAATAGATCTCTTGTAAATCTATTTTTGCATGTGCATCTCGGAGGACCTGAAATAACACACTTGGACTTTATTATGACAGGTATTTAAGTTACTTGTGGATCAGCTTTATACTATGAAGGCCACTGAGGTTTGTTTGTAAGCTTTTTTTTTTTTTTTTGCATGTCTAGTGTAGATTTTACTGTCGGGCTACTTACTCAAGGTGTACCCTTACTGGGATCCCAATGAATGTCTGGAGTTCTGAGTGAGGACTCTCCACTATGGCTAGATGGAAGTAAATGTGTCCTGCTCTTGTGCTAGTTTTGAGAATTGGTAAGCTTAATGTTCAGAAATGGGCACAAAAGGATCTGTAATGCTGATCTCTGGAATTTTTTTTTTTTTTTTTTTTTTAAATCTGCACACCTTCCTCTTCACTGATACTCTGCCCTGAAAATTCAAGCCATCTCAGTCTTACTCGTCTTGGTCTCCTCACCTCAACAAGCCTGCTCTGCTCTGCCTTAGCTTCCCCTCCTGCAGTGTGATCCAGTGCTTAAACCTGGCAGGCAGGGCGACTGTGGGGTCACCTTGTCTCCTTCCCTTGGTGATACGTCCTTTGCTGCCAGTTGTCCAAGACCGGAAAAGCTGCTTCAACAACCCCCCCCCCCCCGACTTCTGGGAATACTGATAGCCCATCTTTCTGTGAAAATTGTAATGTATTTAGAGCTATACATTCCCATAAGTATTTGCTTTCACAGTATCCCACAAGTTTGGCTATGTTGTACTGCCACTAGAATTTATCTCCAAATACTTTCTAAATTGCACTGTGATTTAGTTTGACTCATGGATCATTTGAAGTGTGTTCCTTAAATTATAAGCATTTGGGAAATGTTTTATCTTTATGTAATTGATTTCTGGTATAATTCAATTTTTGGAAATTTGTTGAGGGTTGATTTGTGGTCCGTCAAATGGTCAGTTTTGGTAAATGTTGAATGGTGAACCTTAAAAGAATACGTAGTCTGAAATTTTGGGATATAATGTTTTATATTACATCTTAGTCAATGTATAGTGCCTATACATAGCAAATAGTAGCTCAACACATTGTGAATTGAATAACTGAAAGGTTTTATTCTATTGGTGGAAATTTCAGACCAAATAAGGATGACGATGACATCACAGGGGTGTAGGAACAGAGAAAACTATTTTTGCTAAGGTGGAGCCTCATAGAGAAGCTGAGCCAAAGCATTCAGTTTCTCCCTGTTCCAACCAATATTAATGCCCATACTGTATGTGACGGATATTATCCCAGTATTTTTTTTCCCATGCTTCTACCATTTTTCCTGTCATTGGTTGTAAGCTCTGTATTGCTAGTGCTGTGACGGTAGAAAACAGTATCTTAGAAAAGTTAATGACATTGATTTATAAAGCCCATAGAGACACAACAAAAGTTTAGTTTTATTTCTCCAAACAACATGTGCTCATTTTCTTAGATTACATGGGTTTAGAAGATATCTAATATCTCTATCCAATACTGCAATTTTTCAAGTAGAATTTAAAAAAATTTTTTTCCAGGTTTTCATGTTCATGTTCTATTTCTTATAAACACCCCTCAAGGTGAAAACTGTTATTTATGTACATATTCTAATACATTTAACCTTCCCAGTGAACTGTTCTGCCAATCTTGTTCTGGACACTGAGATTCTGATTCTAGAAAGAAGGGAGGAAACGGGTTTGGACACAGCTAACAGCACATTCTGTAGGCTTATAAGATGCCTCTTGCGCACTGTCTCACGTGCCTTCAGTCTCCAGTTGCAGCCACCGCTCTGGTGAACAGTTCTGGGCAGGTCTCCCCCTGCTGTGCTGACGGCACTTCACTTTGGGCACGCACCAAGAACCTGGCTTCCTGTCCCAAGGCCTCTCTGATGGGCCATGTGTGGGGCTCTGGTCCCAGTGAGGCTCTCCTGGCTGTAGGGATGGGGGAGCTAACACCAATGGGCACGGTTCTCAATACGTAAGAGATGGGTGCTGAGAGAAATGCTTCTCCCTGTCACCCCTCAGGCAGACAGTTCTGAGACCAACTCTAGTAAGACTCCTGAGAAGGTTCATCACTAAGAAACCATTAACAGTGGTGGACACTTGATAACACTACCTTGTTTTGCTTGGATTTTCTTTCCCTTTTCCCTCTCTGTCATTCCTCTCCCTCTCGTCCCTGCTCCCTGGATCACATTGCCAAACGGAGTATGTCTGCCTTTGTTTCAAGCTCTGCTTTCAAGAATAACCTAGATTAAGACAATAGCTAACTAGGTTGTTGACAGATTATATAATGCAGGTATAACATTTTCCTGGACTCTGCACACGCTACAAAGAAACCCTTATTCAGTTGGCAGCACAGTTTATGGTCACTGCGATGATTTTCCATCTTTTTCCTTTTAGGAAGGTCATGGTCCATCCTGAAGCCTGACCACCTAAAGAAAAACAGTTGATACAAATTACCTTTCAACTAAGTAGATTTCTTATTGATGACACTCTAAGCAGTTCCTCTTTGTGAGGGAGCCCTCAGCAATTTGGTTGGATACTCCAATTTAACAAGGAGAAGCCCTCAGTGTACTTAATCAGGTGGAGCTTTTTGTTGCTCTGGAAACAACCATATCACATTTCTTATTCCCCTTGGTAAAAGCCTAGAGCTTTTACTACTTAATAATAATTTTTTCTGAGAAGCTCAAATGTACCTTAAAAATGTAAAAATTACAGAATATTATCAGAGCTTTCTTATTAATAAAAAACTGAAAGAATACCCTGAAAGATACAAGGTTCTTAGGAATAAATTAAGGTTGTCCACATGCCAGCTCTGAGAAAAATGTAAACATTTTATAACAATGTGTGGTGATCATTTTGCAATCTATACAAAAATAGAATCATGTCTTACAACAAAAATGAATATAAAGTTATATGTCAATGATATCTGAATAAAAAAACAAACTAGGGTTGGTGAAAAGAATGCACAAGTTTTTTTGTGTTGTTTTGTTTCATTTAATCTACAGATCTCACTGAGAACATGACATCTGAACACAGACCTGAGGAGGAGAAAAGAGTCAGTCAAAAGGGTATTTGGGGGAGGAGCACTTGGGAAAATGAAAAGAGAATCGTAAGAGGCCAATGCTGTCTGAGAGATGTGAGCATCAGAAGCTGAGGTTGCAAAGGGTTTGGAGAAAGGAGGCAGGGACGGATCGTGTGAGAGAGGAGTTCACAGTGGATGCAGGGCCATAATGTACCCTGAGGGAATACTGTGAAAAACATTTGGTATTATTATGATTGGGTGGTACTACTGGCCTCTAGTAAGTAGGCAATGTTTATGTTATAAGTACAGTAATGCTCAGGACAGTTCCATCCAACAAAGTCATTTTCTTTTTTAAATTTTCTTTTCTTTATTAATTTTAGAGAGAGAGGAAGGGAGGGGGAGAGAGAAACATCTATGAGAGAGAACATTGATTGGCTACCTTCTGCATACCCCCCACTGGGGATTTGGCCCCAAACCTGGGCATGTACCCTGACCGGGAATTGAACTGGCAACCTCTTGGCACATGGGTCGATGCTCAACCACTGAGACACACTGGCCAGGCTAACAAAGTATTTTTCTACATTTTGTGCAACTGTAAACTGTCCTGCTGCTCATTCATATAGATGTAAAACTTATACTTTTTATGCTAACTTCTAAATTCCACTCATAGAAAGCTTCGTTATTGGGATATACTCTCCACTGAAAACAAGCAGACATCCTGGATAAAATATATTTGATCAAATTTGGAAAGTTTTTGTGAATATTTTTAAAAATATTTTTCTGCCCATACTCTGTCGTTTTGCCTTCTAGGAGTCCAATTTCATGTCTGTTAGATGACTTGATACTATTCAATAAAAAAAAATTAACACTTACTTCACATCATACTCCAAAATCCATTCACATGGTTAGCAGATCTAAATGTTCAAAGAAAACAGCATTTTTTAGAGAGTAACATAGGAGAATGTCCTTGCATGCAATCACCTCTTAAACAAGATAGCAACAGCACTAACCATAAAGGAAAATTGATAAATTAGACTTCACTAAACATTAAAAATTTACATTCATTAAAATTGAACAATCAGATTAACACAAGCCACAGATTAAGAAAAGGTGTTTTCTTGTTTGTTTGTTTTTTTGCAGCACTCACAAATGAAAATGGACTTACATGCAGAATACATGAATGAAGTAAAAAAAGACAAACAACCCAATAGAAAAATGGGGTAAAGACCTAACAGGCACTTTATCAAAGAGGATTTAGAAAAGACTTATAATCACACAAAAGATGTTGCTCTTTCTCATTAGTAAGAGAAATGTAAATTGAAAACACACAACCACCAAATGTTGGGGAGGTTATGGAGCAATGACAACTCATTATACACTGCTGGTGGGTGTATAAACTTGAAAAACTGTTTGGCACTATCAACTATAGCTAACGATAAGCATAACCTGTGTCCCAGCTATTCCACTTTTAGGTATATATGCCAATAAATATATCTATCTCTATGTGAGACATTTGTTTCCACTCATACATATCATACGCAGTAGTATTATCTATAATTATGTCACACTAGGAAATAAGAATATTCAATTCAGTGTAAGGAACCCCATATTATATAATTCCATTTTTATGAAATGTCAGGAATAGGCAAATATATAGAGACAAAAAGTAGACTGGTGCTTGCTTAGTGCTGGAGAGGATGGGGGCAGAAAAGATAGCTAAATTATGGAGTTGTGAGGTGATGAAAATGTTCTAAAATGGACTCTGGCAGTGGTTGCACCTGTCTGTGAATATACTAAAAAACCCCACTGAATTACACAATTTTAACTGATTAATTGCATGGTATGTGAATTATATATCAATAAAACTGAAATTAATAAAAAAAAAAGTATAAAGTACAAATAAATTGTGGTACAGTCATATAATTGAATGGTATACAGCATAAAATAAAATAAAATTCTTACTGCCTGGCCATTGTGGCTCAGTGGTTGAGCACTGACCCATGCACTAAGAGGTCACAGGTTCGATTCCCAGTCAGGGCACACGCCCAGGTTGTGGGCCAGATCCCAGTGGGGGGCATGCAGGAGGCGGCCAATCGATGTTCTCTCTCTCTTTCTCTCCCCCACTTCCTCTCTCTCTAAAATCAGTGAAGAGAAAAATTAAAAAATAAAATAAAAAGATCTGATATGGGTAACAACAACTGTAATATGAAGTAAAAAAAAAAACACAAATACTACAGAATATTTACTAAATAATTGATTTAATGTGAAATTCAAAAACAGACAACATTAATCTATGTATTTGAGGATAAGACAGTTGGTTATATCTGGAAAGTTGCCCTTGACTGGGCAAGGGGATAAAGGAAGCTAGCAATGGTCTGTTTCTTGATCTCCCAGGTGGTTGCAAAGAAGGGTTTGTTTGCGCTAGTTTTTTAAAGTGTATTGAAATGTGTATTTATAGTTGGCCCACTTTTCTGTATTTAGTACTGCTACAAATGTTTAAGAAATATTTTTCAAAGTCCAGTTATTCAGTAAGTTGTCCCATTAATGTGCATTGGAAAAACTGGACTAAAAGAATACATAAACATTTTAATAGTTGTGTGTGTGGTTTGGGATTATAGAGAATTTTTATTTCCTTCAATATATTTTTCAGCGTTTTCCTAATTACCATAGTAGACATACACTACATTTATCACTAGAAAAATGCTATAAAAATAAAACTGTTTGCAATACCCCTGTATTACTTTAATGCTAATTTATTCACAATATAAGTACTTTTGACTTTTGCTCCCAGATTGGAAAAGATTGTCATTTTAGAGGAAAGGTGATTTCCTGGCTGACTGCCAGGAACTCCCCACCAGCAACCCAGCAGGAAGGAGGAGCAGAGGTGCAGGTGTGGACCCCAAAGACTGTGAACTAAACGTGGGGAGGTGGGCAGGGCGTCGCAGTCCTCATGGAACCCGAGTCCTTCCTGCAAGGCTATGGTTGGGGTGCAAGCTCCAACATCCATGCTGAGTGCAGTGAATGATCAGTCTAATCACTATCATCCTCCTGGTTTTGTCGGGCCAGGAGCTAAGGCTGTTTTCACATTTTTATGAGGTTATTAAAAAAAAAGAAAAGCCAAATACGCCACAGAGACTGGTCCTGGCCTGCAAATCCTAAAATATTTGCTATCTGGCTCTTTACAGAAAAACTCGCCAACTCTTTGAATAAGGGAGTCAGGCTGAGGCGTTTTAAGGTATTTAAAAGTGTTACGGGGTAAGCTCTTGCTGGCAAGAGGCCCGGGTGGAACGGGCCTGCCCGGGGCGCCTTCCTTCCGCGGTATCACGAGAAGCAGCACTGCCCGGGCTCGTCGGCGCAGGAAGTCGGTCCGCTAGGGCGAGGGCGGAAACTCACCTCTGGGCCGGGCCGGGCCGGGCCGGGCCGGGGAGGGATGGGCCGGCGTCGCGGCCGCACTCCACGGGCTCCTCCGGGCTGGGGCTCGGAAAGGGTGAGCGACGCTCCGCCGACCGCAAAGAAGGAGGTTTCCGGGCTTCACTAGGGAAAGCACGGTTGTCACTCCCCAGGAGCCGCCCCTCCCCTCCCTAGTCCCTTCCCTTCTCCGCCGCGGGCAGCCGCCGCACTGCGAGGTCCGCCAGCCCCGCTGTAACTTTTGAAGTCGCGCTGAGTGGGCGCGGCTGGCCGCTCGGCGCGTGCGCAGTGGCCTCCGCCGCCGCTGTCACGGCGCAGGCTCGGCGGGCAGCCCGGCTGGGGAGGCGTGGACCCCCGGTCCCAAGGCTGGAGGGAAGCCAGGGCGGCAGGACCTGGACGGTGTTTTTGCACATTTTGAGTTAGTTGTGAACATCGTAACCCTTGGCTTTTACACATTACTAACATATGATCTGCGCAAAAGACAGTTTCATTTAATTCCGTCTAATATCTCAGTACCTGTCCCTTAAGAATGAGAATTCTCCTAAATCAGGGTTTCTCCGTCTGGGCGCTATTGACATGTTGGGCAGGATGATTCTTTGTTGTGGGGGGCGGAGAACGGCCCTGGGGTCTGTACAATGTGTAGTGGCACTCCTGGCCTCTACACTCTCGGTGCCAGTAGCAACCCTCCCTTCCTCCGGCTGTGACGACCAAAACTGTTTCAAACCTGCTAAACGTGTGTGTGTGTGGGGGGGGGGGGGCACAATCGCCCCCTCTGAGGACCACTGTCCTACAGGATCACAACACAACGTCCTTAGGAAATACCACCTCAGGTTCTTCAGACATAGGAAGTCGGAATCCATTACACACTGTTCAGTTAGTATATGCAGCCTATATTCGAATTTCAATCGCCCACCTCTCCCCACGACCCCCCCCAAATCCTTGCTTACCATCTTGTTGTTTATGAATATGAATCCAGGATTTAACCAGGATTACATATTGCATTTACTAGTTATCAAGTCTCTTTAGTGTCCTTCAATTTAGAGTACTTCTGTAGCCACGACACCGCCCCCCCCCCCCCTTTTTCTGGTATTGACATTTTAGAGAAATTCAGGCCAGTGGTTTTTCCAGAATATCCTTCAATTTGAATACTCAGATTGGTTCTCATTATAAGATGAATGTTGAACATTTTTTAGTTATTTGGGGGCAAAATTTCACCTAGGTGATGTTATGTTCAATTTTGTCTATTTTCAAAGGACTATTTAGTTGTTCTAACAACATTTAATTTAAAAAAGTCAAATTTTCTCCCAGTGACTTGAGATACCACTTTTATCACATATAGAAATTTCCACATTGTACTTGTGGTTATATCTATTACTTTCTATTTTCCCCTCATTGATTTGATTGTCTACTCACATGCTAATATTACACTGTTTTAATTACAGAAACTGTATAAATATATTCTATTGTCTGTTAGGGCTAGAACTAATTCATTGATGCATTTTTTGTTTGTTTAGTTTTTCCTGTTTCTTGGATATTCTTGGTTAGTCATTTTATTATATAAACTATAGAATCTAGCTCCATAAAAATACTTTAAAATATTGTCATCAGTTTATCATTTTGCATTATTCTACTGAAGAACAATGTTATTTTTACTTTTATTCAGGTCTTTCAGGAAAGCTTTAGAGTTTTTCTCACATAAGTTGTGCACATTTCTTGTTAAATTTGTTACTAGGGTACATTTCATTTTTGTTGGCAGTGTAAACGGGGTTATCTTTTCTACTTTTCCCTTTACCTGCTATTGCTTAAATATATGAAGGCATTGATTTTTATATGTAACTTTATATCTTGCTACCACATTGAATCTCCTTTAGCTTCTAGTTATCTGTTAATTCTAGTGGCATCTCTATTTACACCTTTATATAATTATAGTAATTATTCATTTTAAAGCTCAAATTGTGCATCATTGACTTCTATGTTCATTTGACAACTGCAAATGTCTTGATGGCTTATGGACAATGAGTCCCAGTATCATAGGAACAGTCTCATTTACTGCTCCAGACATAATAGCAGCCATTTCTCAAAGGAGTGTTCATTGCTTTAGTGAAAAGGGTATTTGGTGAGGACAATCTTTGTGCTTAAAGATGCTCATGGCAAAACAAGTTGTTACTTCTCAGACTTTTCAATACAAGATCTAAGAAACGTGTGGTTTTTCAAAGAAAGATAAAAATAGATCATAAATGTGTGCTTATGTTTCAATTAATATAATTGCAATGCTAATGAAATATATAATTCTTTACTTATTTGATTTTATATTGCACATCTTTTTCTCTTTGGAGAAAAGCAGGTTACTAGTAATATTAACATAATTGCTTATGTACTCTTCCCCTAATATATAATAGTTTCAAAATAACAGTACCAATATTATACCTAATTGTAAAATTGCTAAATGCAGTTTCATACAGCTAGGTTTGTTTCAGGTTATTTTCAAATCGAGGTTGTTTAATTTAAAAATAATAAAATCCAAAGTGAAAAATGAAGCAAGCCTTAAATATTTCTAACTTTTTGAGTGCAATGTCTTATTTTTCTCATTTTTATTGATATAGATATTTAAATCTATGAATTTTATTCTGAACATTCGTTAGCAGTATCTCATAGACTCTGATGTAGTTTTATTATTTTTTCCTAGAAATTCTCAAAATCAGTTGGCATCTCCCCTTGAGCCAAACTGTGTTTAATATAAAAATTAAAATTTCAAGGTGGTAAGGCTCTCTTATATTTTGATTGTTATGGATTTCTACCTTTATTATATTATTGATGGAGACCATAATTTGTATTTTTCCTTATGTAGTTTATTGAGGTATACTTGTCTCTATATGTAAATTATAAAGTCAATTATCATAAATGTTTTTGTACAGTATTTTTTGTCTTGGACTAAGAAAAGTGTTCTTAAGTCTGCTATTGTGTATATATTTCTGTTGTCTTTGAATCTTCTCTTGTAGTTTCTGTTGCATGAAAGAAACTACTGCATTATTTGCTGCAAATCTTTCATAAATGTTTATTTTAGCCTTTATCATCATAAGGTGCCCTTTGTCTTGGTAATGGTGTTTGGTCTGAATTCTACTTAATTGGATTTTGAGATCTCCGTTCTTTATTTTTATTTGCATCTTGTTGGTATAACTTTTCCCATTTTTCCCCCCACTGTTAGCATTTTTGAATTATTTTCTTTTAGGCATATTTTCGTCTTTCCTATTTAGCATAGAGTTGGATTTTGCTTTGTCCTTTTTTTTTAAATCCTTACCTGAGGACATTCTTCCATTTTTTGTTCAGAGAGAGGAAGAGAGAGAGGACATAAAGGGACACATAGAGTGGCTGCCACCCGCACGACCAACCAGGGCTGGGGACAAACTGCAATCCAGGTGTGTGCCCTTAGCGGGAACCGAACCCAGGTCTCTCTGGACTGCAGGTCAATGCTCTAACCGCTGAGCCAAACCGGCCAAGGCTGCTTTGTCCTTTTAATAGCAAGGTTAAACCCTCTATTGGTTGATATGTTTAGTTTCAGGTATCACATTTCATATTACATTTATATTTATATATGTAATATCTAACATATCTAATGGTAGTAAATGCTAGTGAGGAAATTAAGGAGGAAGGTGGGATAGGAAATGAGGGGTGGAATATTCCATTTTAAATAGGTGGCCAGGGAAGGCCTCACTGAAAAGGCAACTTTTGCACTAACTGTTGAAGTAGGTGCATGAATGAGCTGTTTGGATAAGTGAAGTAAGACCCTAAGGGAGAGAACAGCTGCAGCAAAGGCTGTGACACACCAGGCTACCTGGTGTGTTTTCAAAGGACAACAAGGAGCCCTGGCCGGTTTGACTCAGTGGTTAGAGCGTCAGCCCATGGACCAATGAGTCTAGGGTTCGATTCCAGTCAAGGGCATGTACCTCGGTTGTGGTTCAGTCCCAGGACCTGGTCAGGGTCATGCGGAGGCCATCAGTTGATGTCTCTCTCTGCCTCCCACTCTATCTGAAGATAAATGGGAAAATATCCTCCAGTGAGGATATTTTTTAAAAAAAAGAACAGCAAGGAGGCTGGTGTGACTGGGCAATCGTGGGACATTGGCCAGAGGGGAGGAACCTAGAGGAGCAGCCAGAGCCCCGTCAGTCTTAGGGAGGGCACAAGCAACCCCCTCAAGAGGAGTTTTGGTGCCAGGTGTTGAAGTAACATTACTTCTGCCATCTCACAGTCATAAATCAATACCTCTAAGGGAACAACACATTAGTAACGTGGGGATTCCAGCCTAGGCAGCAGAAGAAGCCAGGCTTACGGGTATTATATTTTGGGATGCAACTCAAATTATTCTGAAGGCGGTTTCATCTCTGCTGATTTTGAGGGTTGGATTACTAAACACCTTCCCAATGCAAGGGAAGTGATCCTTCAATATAGTCTTCAAATCTCTGATGTTTCAGTGTTTACTTTATGTTCTACCCAAACACATCAGATATAAATTCACAGGTTTATATGAGATGTGCATTTACAGGGGAAGACTTTTTTTTTGAAACATATCATTGAAATGAAATGTTCAAAAGCATAAAAACATTAAAATTCTATACTGGGAAGCTTGACGGAAGGCTAAAACACGACATTGGAGTTTTCTGAATTCATTTAAAAGTCAAGTATTTGGTTTAAAAGTAATTTTTTCTCCTTTTTATAAAGAAATCTATTGTTTGTAACAGAAAACTGTATGACAAAGAAGGTAGAATGAAATGGGTGTCCGCCTGAGGGGGAAGCATAGGGGTGAATTAAGTCTGTTATCCAGAAAAACTGTTCAGGATTCAAGTGGATGGGAACAGAGAAGGGACAAACTTTAAATATATGCACCATTACTTCTTCCTTGATTTCATATGTTTCATTTGGCAGCATTTTAATTTTCTCTTGCACTTTTTTTCTTAATCTAAACTGGCACAGCGAAATGCTGTCTGGGTAAGTCACAACTCACAGAAAACTGAACAGCGCATTGTCAAAAGGGA